CAGGTTTCTGGGATGATTACCAATTCCCCGCCGGTGTCTCGAGGGTAGGTGGGAGGTGTGGTGGCCGCCTCACAAGCCCAGGCTGTGTGCCGCATCGTTTGGGAAAGAACTGTACTGCTGTAGTCTCGTTATTATGGCATGCACTTTTAAACAGCCGGGTACGTACCCTAGGCTGCCTGCAATGTCTTGCTTCCAATAAATGGCTCTGTGAAGCCAGTATCAGTCCTTGCTGTAAAGGTCATGGTCTTGTTACCTTTTCCTGTGAGTTTCCCTAAACTGCTTTCCAAAGTCATAGAGTGTTTCTCTTAAAAATGTTCTAGGTCTGGATTAAAACATCATTTCATTTTGCATCTGCTTGCAGATAGTACCAATCATCAAAACCACGGTTGAAACAGGGTGAATGAAATGGGGTACTCGCAGTACACAGCCATGGCACGCATGCAGGCAAGCAGATGGAGAGATGCAGCTCCCTCAGTCTGGCACACTGGAGAAAACAAACTTCCACCACCGTGCTGAATGTCCTTTTTTTCACAAACAGCTAAAGTTCAGGGCGTGAGATCTTCTTCCAGGGGAAGGGAGGATGGATGTTTTATTGCACTTCATCTGTGCTCTAAAACAGAAGGAGCTGGGGCTCAGGTGATAAATGTGCCCTGTGGTTTGCGGGCAGGAAAGCGTGATACAAGAACAGGATGGGCTCTGTGCCGAAAGGTGCAAGACACTCCAAAACCAGCATTGTCTATGTCAAGTTTTCACTTCTGCATTCTGCCTGGCTCTCTTAACAGAGGTGGAAAGGTCTCTCAGTCAACCTGAGCCCTGGATTACAACAGCACTAGTCAAGGACCAAGAAGCTATCCAAGCTTAAAGGGAGTGGTATGTCCTGTAGTCAAAAGGTTGCCCTTGGCAAAATCCTGCACTAAAACTTCAGGTGTCCTTACAATGTAATCTCAAGTCCCTCGCTTATGGTCCATGTAGGCATCCACCAGCATATTCAGGGAGCCAGGCTGAGGAATCCCAGGCTGACCTGTCCGATATACCCTGTCCCAAAATGTTTCTTCACATTCTGTCCAAGGATATAAAAAGTAATGTGTCTGGCACAATCTATATGAAGTAGCCTGCAGTGAGGATATTATTACATAAGCTTTTGTGCACAGAAGCACATAGATAGGTAAGCTGTGCTGTTCAGGGATATACTTGATACAGTCTCACAGTGGAGAATACAGAACTGATTGCTGAGCAGCTCTGCAGAAGCCACCTTAGGTCTGGTGAGGCCAGTAGTGAACTACAGGAATTAAGTCCCATCTGGTACCAGGCTAGGTCTCATGGAAACATTAAAATGATTCCTCGATCACACTCCCTTCTCTTACGCATAGCTGGAATTGCTGAGCACCCTGAGTCATAGATAATAGAGAACAGGCTGCATGCTTTTAAAGTATAACACACAAATAAAGCAGTGCAATTACATTCTGGTCTATTCATGCTGCATGAAATCAGAGGTTTTCAAACTGTAGTCATGGACTGGTACAGGATCATGTTTCACACAAAATTAGGGGAGTTCATTGTCCTAGGGTCAACTTTTCCATGGACAGAGTTTTTTAGTTGCTTTGGGTTTTGCAAGTCAACTCCCACCATTGGTCTTTCCAGTGCTGAAAACTATCTTAAAATTGTACTGTTTTCTGCTCTAATAGCAGTATGAATTGTTAAACAGTAGCTATGTTTCTCCTGAAAATGTAGTCATGTTTTGGAATGAGTTGAAAACAAACATCAGTGGAACCATCTTCAGAGTAAAAAAAAAAAAAAAAAATCTAACAATCTAACTAAAATTATTTAATCTACTGCTCTTTATTTAGCCTATTTTTTAATATATAATTGTTGGGGTTTAGTCAGCAAAAATTACTACATACATGTTAGGACAATATGTTTAGAAAAAAATATTTAATTTACCTTGAAAAATACTTGTTAGACCTGAAAAATTCAGGGTATAAGCTGTTCACTGATTACCAAGGCTTATGAAAAAAAAGAAGCAGCTTCTGTTCAGGCAAGTCTTACAATGGAATTTTTTTGCAGCTGCTGCATAAGAATCTGAGTGCTAGAATGCTGGAGTGACAATGAGAGTGGATGGACAGGGAATATCCACCATACTTTTTCGTTATGTGTGAGAAAAGACATATTGCATTAACAAAAGCAGAAGAAAACAAGAGGCCACAATAACTATTCAGTGCATGGAAGCAGGATATTAATTTTTCAAGTAGAGCACCCAGAGAAGAATTTTGTTTGCCCCTGGATTGTCAGTATAGGAATTAGACTGAACAGGAGAACGGAGAAAATATTCAATGCTATGATTATCAGACTCAAAGTACAGTAATTTTAACGTGTGAGAAAGGTTCCCTTGATACTCAGTATGATTTTTTTCCTCTTTTTTATTCCAATATTTTCCAGTTCTACACCTTTATTATTTTAAAAGTCCAAAAATATAGGAAAAAGTAAGTCTTAGGTTCTTTTTTATTTTCAACTGTGTATGTCAGAGATAGCTTTAGAACAAGCTAACAGTACTGTGGTTCAGGTGTATGCAACTGGTACAGTTCAGTAGTACATAAACAACTCTAAAACAAATGCACCATAGAACTTACTTAAATTACCAAAAATAAACAATATTAAACTATGTAGGGCAGTAGGTGAAAACAATTACCTTTAGGTCTTGCATACTAAAAGAAAAATATCTAATTATGATTGAAATTATGATGTTCTACTACAGATTATTGAAGTACATTACAAAGAAAAAGAAACTTGCGAAGTTGTTGTCACATTTTGGTTTTGTTCCAGTGATGTACAGTCACATGAAAACTTACATCAGTTTTTCATGAAATTAACATGTGGTTACTTTAACTACAATATTTCATGAGTTTATAATGGGTTTTGGTGGTTTGTGGTGGTTTAATTTTTGAAAAAAATGCATGTAAAAACATTTAAAGTAAAATAATGTTGCAGGTTGTTTACAGATTCATTATGGATTATAAGAGTAAAAGCAGTCAGGAAGCTGCAGTGTTTTTAACATTGGTAAACAAATACTGGATTAAAGTGCAAGAGTCCTTCTGACAGCACACCTGCTCTGTGCTGAAAGGAAATCTTTTCCTCTCTGCAGAGAAGCGAAGAAAAATTTCAGTGTCAGGCGTGTTTCTCTCGAAAGTCAGTGATGGCCTTCCAGAGCGTGCATAGCATTCCTCCTCTGTAAAGAAAAAAAATCAAAGATGCTCAGGTACAAAGATACTCTCTAGCCTGAAAGCATTCCATGTAGGTGCCTTCAGATATTCTTGCTCTGGTTTTGACCAATGAAATTCAGTGGGAAGGCTGATCAAAGGTGAAATTCAACATGTGATACTCAAATAGAGAACAGAGTCCTTTTCTGATTAAAGTACAGGGCAATCTTTCCACTTTTCAGATGCCTGCTTTCTGGAATTCAGACTTCTGGTCCAAAGGACCTGCATAACCCACAGCAGACTTCCAACATTATGAAAAAAACCTTAACACCTGCCTTTTAAAAAAAAAAAAAATTTATTTATTTTTAAACTGACTGGGCACACACACAGTGTTTGATAACTTCTATTGTTTCTACCTAAACTTGGTTCTGCAGTGACCCACACACCTGGCATGATTAGGTGAAACCTAGTGTTAGTTGCAGTCTATGAGTAGTATTTCTGAAGTCTGATGATTATGATAAACTACAGAAAATTTTGCTATCGCTACCTTTTAAAATAAAAGCAAGGCTCTAGTGGGATATCCAGTGTCTCCAAGTGTAAGGTAAAAGCTTTACTTTAAAATTTTCCCTTTTCTTTCCTTTAAAAGAAAAGCTTATTTTAAAATTTAGCCAGTAGCAGGTGTTTATCAGGAATGCATCAGTAAACAAAGACATACTGGAAAGTATGACCTATTTTAAATTAATACTGCACGATCAAAAAAAATAGAGGCTTAGTATCAGCTATTTTCTCTTGTAACAAAACACAACTCCTGCTCAGCACAGTTCAGCTTCAACTGTGAAGAATTACCTCAGTCTCAAACATTTCAGATCATCTCGTGTAACATAGCAGAGAACATCCGTTAATGTATAGTCTTCAGCCAAGAACTACAAAAAAGAAGTTTAAATGAACATTTTGTTAGAAATATAATCTAACTTTCTAAGTTTTATATACCATCTGCCCTTAAAAATAAAAGTTTAAGTTTATAAGAAACTTAAAATTGGGCCAAAATGTGGTACACGCAACAGATTAATCCACATTGTTTCTAGAAATACAGGGAAACTACTTCATTAGCATACCAAGCACAACTTGAAAGGTGTAATGCTTTTATAGCTACTCAAAACCATTGTCAACTGGCATTTCTATTGTTATCACTGGTATCTCAGAGTCACAAACTTCAATGAACATAAATTAGAGCATAATTATTACCACATTTCACCCATGAGGAAATTAAAATCAACAGTTAAGATCTACATTTTCAAAAACGGCATCTAAATTTGATGTACTTGAATTTCAAGGAATCTTTGATCTGATCTGTAGGAGTGATAACTACATGCGGGTTTTCCGAAGTCAGCTGAAATTCTGAGATGCTCAACACCTCTAAAATTACATAATCTGCTGCAGAGCAGACCAATCTACTTCAGATTTCGCTTCAACACAGTTAGCTAAGGGTGAACATGTACCCTGTACCCAGGTTAT